ATCATCAAATGCATCACTAAATGCAACCTCATCAACAAACTCTATAGGTAGTCAAACTATAATGTAAACACACTTCAAATTAATTATAAACATGTAATTGTTAATTATTAATTGTAAATATTACCAAATTTGTATTTTTAATTTAAAAAAATGTTGGCTAATAACCTTAGCCGGTATAAACTTAGAAAAAAGACTAACAAATTCGTAGGCTTGTAGAAGGTAATTAATTTCTCCCAACATTTTTTCCTTTACGAAATCAGTGTAGTTCATCGAATATTATTTTATCGCCAGAAATTAAGTGATCGATATTATATTCGTACTTTAAATTATTAGGTATACTTACCATGATCCGATAAATAATTATACACGGACCCAATTCGAACACATCATTCTAATCTACTGTATTTAGTCAGACTAGATATATTATGCTCATCATAAGCGGAGATTTAATTGTATTTTAGGGGGCCAAAATTGTCTTACATAAAATGAGCCAATTAAAAACATACAATTTTTTTTCTCTGACTACGCCACAAATCACACTAAACCAATTAAACTGTTGTTACCTATAGGCTATAATCTATAATAATGAATAGCATTGATTTTATCATATTAACAATAAAATTATCACTATAATCTCTTTTTTATAGAAGCTATAAAGATAAAATGTATTAAGTGGCTTAAAATAGTAAATAAGACGTTAATCATAAATTCATAATGATGTGGATAATCCAGCTGCAAGAGAACACCAGAACACAAAACATTGGTAGACGCATATTGGATAATGTATCTTTTTATATAATATTATTTATTCAATTTTAAGCTATTCACACGATTCTACAATACGTTTGACGTTGGTATTGACTTAAGTTGTAGCCTTGTAGGTATGCGATGTTCAAAAAAGTTCAAAATACTGTATGAAAAAAAAAAATTAATTTTAAATATAATATTACATGGTTCTGCAGCTTAGTGCTTAGAAATATAAATGGCGATCCACCCGACTCTTTCGCCCTTATATTTCTTAAATAAAGATTTATCATTCAATTTAAATTTAATATGTCTATTACAATGACACATCAGAGCGACAGGAAGAGTACACGTTTTTTTTATTCTGCATATTTATTTCTACGAGGAATTAAAATGAAGTGTTTTTATTATGATAAGAACAAAATACAGTCAATGTATAATAATAATATAATATGTATTATACACATTAATACGTTATACATACCTATATAGGACCTTTATAATGTATATAGTATTATACTATTATATATGCACCTTGTTGGTTAAGCAAAGTTTATCAATTTATAACTATAGTGCCTAACTACTTATAAAAATGATTAAAAAAATAAATATTATACTGAGTAATCAAATCATTCTAAACTTTAATAGGCAGATAATGTTTTTAATAATAAAAAAATAACTTAAGATATTGAAATTGAATGGAAGTAAATATAGGTATGTAGGTAGGGTAGGTATTCAGAAAAAAAGCCCCGTCATAGGAAACAACATTTCCGGAAAGATGATCTTTAATTAGGTAAACTTAATTAGAATCTTTATATGTACATAATATTATAAATAGGGGCTGGGTTTATATGCATTTGTATGTTTTGTTTTAATAGCACAAAAAGTAGGTAGATAAGGTACAAATTTGAATCTTAAGCTACTGTGTTGGTATGCGAAATTATATGTTGCATATTTGGACCATTTTAAATTTGTATGCATATTTTAGCATTTTTATAAAATATAATGCATATCTAAGAAAAAAAATGGTATTAAGTTATTAATATTAATACTTAACGCCATATTCTACGTAAATCCCGTGAATGTGAAGTTTTTTTGATTCAAGAATATATTTGCTGAAAACCGACGTGCATTTTTATTTGAAAATTTATCCAAGTCTTTAGTATTCAACTGTATCTCTTCGGGTAACTTAGAAATGTTATAAAAATATATTTAATTGATTTTAATTGATTTTCGTTCATGAATATTTATTTATACGAGTGAATGTTCAAAATACAACATGACATTTAATACATTTTTTTGTTCCATATTAATTATGTAGTGAATTATATAAATTTTTAAACTAAATAAATTTAATTAACATGTATTTTTGTTTACCTATTTTTGCATATTTAAGTGCATATTTTAATAAAGATCAGTGCATACATAGATGCATATTTCGTACATTTTTAGTGCATATAATTCCGGGCCCTAATTATAAACCATACGTATATCGTTATGGTAACCAGACGTACTTATTTTATAAGGGCAGTACTTCTTTTTGGAGACGTCCTATTATCCTAAATAAATTGCTAAAGTATGATAGGTAGGTACACCAAAATGTACTTATTTTAAAAGGTATTTTCTAAACACAAATCAACAAAATAATATTGAACTTCTGAAAAATCACAACTTGACATTTCTTCATTAAAATCAGTAATGCAGGTTTAAACAAACTTAGATGAAACACATTATCATGAAATGTTTAATATGTTAAAAACAGATAAAAAATTACTTAAAGAAATACATGAATCTCAAAAATATTGAAAATATTGATATTGTTTCCTTTTATAAGTTAGTTGATTTTAAATATATTAAATTTTATTTCTTATTAAATATTTAAGTTAAATGTTTGTATTAGAAACTTAAAAGATGATAATATACAAAAAAGTTTTTGAATGTTTTATTGTTTTCTCTATTAAAAGTTTATTATTTTTTAAATTGTTTTGCTAGGCACACGATTTAAGTCAAGTAATAAATATGTACATAGTAAGACTACAAATGTATGATACTATGTTATGTTTCAAAATGAATAAAGGTTGTTTAATTTGTTGTAATTTCTTTTTTAATATCCGGTTACCATTTACAGTGGCGTACACAGCTATTTTCAATGAGAGCCCCACCGGGCCTTACGTTAAAAATTTTATACTTCAATACAACAAAATGTTATACTGTTTAACATAGATTTATTTTTTATAGTACAATGACTATAATGACTAATTTCCTAGGTCTGTTTCCCAACTCGTCAATGACTTTTTCAGGAGTTAAATTCATACTACGGTATACCGACAACATGGTCAATTAATTTAATCTGTCCTGTGTAAATATTTTTCAGTATGAAATTTAATGTACCTACGTAAATATGGATAAGAAATATGTAAGGCAAAAAATTGTTTACCTCTTTCATAGTAATTCTCAAATAAGACTCTTTTTAAATTTGAAAACATTCTTTCCGGAGTAGCTGTTGACAACGACGGTGTACATAGAATATTCAATCACATGTGAATACTCAGGAAAATCACTCGATTACAATATTTTAATGCATCAATTCCATTTGATGGTTTATAATTTAGGAAAGCAAGTTTAAACTTCCACATTTTAAGTTCAGCTAGAACGAGACAAATCATTAGAACTTAAATAGAACTAAACGAGAGATTTAAAATCGGCTTCATTAGAATTGTCGGTGTTGTCAAATAAACAATGAAAACCTAAATAACATAGGTTTTATCTATACATAATATATTAATTTAAATCTTTGTTGTTGAAGCCTTAATAAACTTTATAAAAAAAAATATATATATTAATTTAAATAATATATTAAATCAAAAATTTGAATATCAAATGTTTAGCTAGGTAATTGAAAAGTTTAGATATTATAACGAGATTCATATGCCTGTATCGGATCGTACACAGTACTATAAAGTATATTTGTTGATTGTAGACCTGCATGTTTGCGTTTGAACAAATTTCCAATAATTTCACTAATTTGTAATCAGTTTTCAGTCGTGTCTACAGCAAAATGCGTCGTTCATATAATGGAAAATAATATCGAATACCTGATATCTATCCTAATAATAACTTCGTTAGCGAGGGTCTTCCCTTCATGAATATATTATGAAATTTTTTTTTTAATTTTATTCATTTTCACTTAATTACGTATAGTGAAAAAAATGCCAAGAGAGGGGTTTGAACACCCCTCCCCTCATGTGTACACCACTGACCATATATAATATATATAGTATGTCCCAAAACTCCCATATCACCCTAATTGTTGTTATATCCATAGCAAATCATGCAGTTTTTTTCTACAGTAATTTGTAGTAAATTATATAATATATATGTTCATCTTTTAAACACGCTGCAGAGTGTGTGCAATATTAAAACTATACAAAAAAATCTAGATTTAAACATGAAATAAAAAATATGTTTTCAATTTTTCATGTAACGGTCTACAAATACATCAAAATAAATATGACGCAAAAGTACAAAAATATAATTATATTAAACTTATTTAAAGCATGGGAATACTTTGTAATAAATAATAAATAATATAAATAATTAGAGCATAATCATTGAATGTTTAGTGTTTGTTGGTAAGGGTCTTTTTTCAGTGATTTTTTTCCCTGGCTTTTTTTTCCTAGACCGTAGGTTAGTTTAGGTTATACTATTAGTTATTACATTAAAAACTTTTATTGTCTAGGTACTAGTTGTACCAAAATAGGTTGTCAAACGGGGTGGGGGGGATAGATCCCTCCATGAACATTTTTTCAATGTTTAATATCTGATAAGCATAAATTATAATTTGTAATAGTTAAATAGTGCATATTAAAAAAGTTATATCCCCCCTCCCTTCAGACAAAATCATTTTACCGGTACTGTTTTGGTATAATGCAATAAGGCACACTCTACGGCTTATGCGTTTGTATTAAATGGTTTTTTTTTAAATGTAATATCCATTACCTACTCATATTCAAAAATACGTAGGTGCTGTTATTTTTGGGATTGGTTTTGGTATTAATATTGATTAAAAATATTTATTCACATCCAATAACATTGTATGAAATGACGTCACTGAACTTATATAAAGACTAAAGCATAGATGAAATGCATAATATAATGTGTTAGTAATGAGAAACGTATCTAATCTTATTAGCATTACAAACAACACTTGAGATTACAGATAAATCTACATATTTCACTGAGCCGTGTACATGTCTTCGTGCTCACGAAATTCTGCATAATATATCATTATTGCAGTGACAGTGATTAGGTATTTGTTCATTGTTGTTCATAACTCATAAGTCATAAGTGAAGCTCAAAGTTGTGAAATTTAAGTTTAGTAAATTGTATTTCAACAAGAACTATAAAATGATGGGTAAGTTATTTTATCGTGTACAATATGATTTTTATTTTGTCGGTATCACTGTAAATGACGTGTTATTTTTACTTAGTACTTAGTACTTACCTACTTGAAAAAATCATCATTAGCTTCGTCCTTCGGCAAATATTTTTAATGTAACATTGTAACTACCTATTTCTGCCTATAACTCGTACAATTATAATATAAGATATAATACTATTAATGGCTAAATAATTTAAGTTGAATTTTCCAATTCTATAGGTTTAATACACAGATAAAATTAAACAAATTATGTTATTAATTATTTAATAAAATCTGTGGCATTAAAATGATAATTGATAGGAGATCAGTACTCGGAATGTACTCGGTGTCTATACAGGTACAACGTTGTTTCGATTTTTGACTAATTTGTTCAAAAACGACTATAAAAAAAATCGAGCTATTGTATCTTTAATATTTTTAAATAATTAGCTTTAATAACAACTTATTGGAAACCTTGTATTTTAAAGTTTTTTAACCGAGCAAAAACATTTTTATCGACATTTGTAAACAAAAAAAACCAAAAAAAAAAAATTTTAATGTCTATAATAATAGCTCGAAACGACCCAAACTATTATGAAAATGATACCATGTGTTAATATAAACATTTTGTGATATTTTCAAGTATTTGCTGTTATTCTTTTTTTAATTATAAAAAAAATTGATTTTGACGATAACTGATTTCCTTTTTTTTTTGTTTTTCCCAATTATTAAGAATTGGGAATTTTTTAATGTTGACCCCTAAAGTACCAAGATTAGGTTCACACTATTGATTCAATGCCATACCATAAAAAATATTGAAGTGGAAATACTAAGTATTTTTATTGCTCCAAAAGGTGATGGCAGACACAAAAAAAACATTATTGTAAAATCAATACATCCATCACTTTGCTCAGAAAATAAAAAAAAACTAGGGGTAGGTTGTTGGTACGCTTAAATATCTGAAAATTCAATTGAAGTACTCAGCCCCCCTGCGCTCGCCCTCCCACACAAGACAAGCACTGAATTTATAGACAGATTAGGTAACACTCACTAACACTAGTACACTCTACGCTGAGACTGAGTACACGGTGTCGAACAATGACTGTTAATCCTCATAGGTACCAATCAGTACAGTTGTTATGTTGTATACATGTACCCATCAACCGTCACACTCATTCCGCATACGCCTACTTTATTAAAAGATCTATACTTAAAAGCTCGCTTGACAATTAAAATAATTTTAATAGTTTTTAAACTGGTAAAATATTCAGCCTCAAGTATATACATTTTCGACCTCAGAATTGTATGTAACAGGTAAACAAAAAAAATGATTGTAGCAGAAAAATAAGCATAGGTATGCTCATATTTTGGTATATGCCTTATACCCTTATTATATTTAAAAATGCATTGTTCAACATATACAAACTAACATTAATTGTTTATTAATAGTTATACATTATACATATATTATATTATACATTATTAGGTAATATATAACAATGTCAAATATACAATATGCTGCTTGGGTTCAAGGGACTTATTTGGAAGGGTCTATGATTTTTAAGTACCTATACCTACATATTTTATGAATAAAAAAAAATTGATGTCTATATTTTTTTTTTCTTCACAACTGGATTCACACCTAACAATCACTACATCATACCAACAATATCACACACTCAAAACTATATCACATTCTGCTGTATTATAAACTTATTTAAATCGATATTCTAAAGACACATATATTTCAGTAATATATAGAAAATATGAAATTGTATACAAAATTTGAATTATTTTTTATTACTTTCTAAACGTTTACCAATGTTTGGTAACCAAATCCATGTCTTGTTAAAATATTAGATATTCATAGTAGTTTTCAAAATTATTCCTGTAATTTACACAAGCAAGAAATTCATGGTCAACTCAACTCGCAAAGTACATCCTCTTTTTATATTGATTCAATTGTATCTATATTTTTTTTTAGGATGTACAATATAGATTTTCAAAATCATCTTTTGACGAATTTCGATTTTGATACTCAATGATTTTACCAATGTCCGGTATGTATAAATTCTAAATGGATTATTTGTGAATGACTTTACATACTTAGTTTCTATGATATTATTTATTTTATACATAATTAAGGCACGGTAATTATTTTTCCGAAAAATATTAATGGAGTAAAAAGTATTTACTGCAAGTGTCAATAACCTATAGGTATATGTATATATGTATATTAAGTGCCTAAAAGGCTAAAACAACTAAAATAATATTTTATCTTAAACAATTGAAAGTATTAATTTTTAGTAGAATAACTATGTTCTTGATAAATTTATATTAAAGTATATTATGTATATTATAATTGTTAGTGTGAAATATCAAATAGAATAAAATATATTGGATTAAAATATAAATGGTTAAATGTAATTAAAATTTAAATAGCTATTGGAAAAAGAAATACAACGTGATATCAATGTTTGATAAGTATAATATTATTTTTATTCACTCTTCACAGGTGGTTACGGATGGGTTCCGTTAGATCAACCACACACACTGTTGTGGGTGCCGTGCAATTCTGGCGATCCGTTGCCCAGGGGAGCAGTGCACGCAGGCACTGACAAGGGCGGCGACCCGTTGTACGCGGGTCGGGCTTTTTACGAAGGTGACTTACTGCCAGCGAAAATAAACCCGAGTCATTCGTCGGCATACGTGTGCTGGGGAGGCATGGAGCACGCATTGAGTCACTTCGAGGTCAGATCAATTACTGTTAATTTTATAATCGTTTAAAACCTGCGTTGAAAATAATATTATATATACATAGGTAATATAATATGTCATGTATGTGTGTATATAGGATGATTATTTTTATCACATATTATTCCAATCAGTTTTAGTTTTTGAGAACATGATTTATACAATTTAAAGTAGGTAAGTTATAATTAAATGTTATACTTACCTTTATTATTTTTAACCCTTTTTCTCTTTATAACAATTCATATTTTTTATTTCCTATCCTATCTATAATATATAAATGACGAGTATCAAATTAAGAGTTTTTCATTTATAAACACTCTTTTAGTTTAGTCTAAGTCTTATGTGAAGACGTGAAGTGCTTATAAATATCAAACTATTAGTCCAATATTTAATATTTTAATAAAAAATACTTTATTTTAGAACTATGCACATCGCATAGTAGTCAAAGAAGTAAAATACCTATAACTTAAATAGCCTTACATACAAATTAGATTTCTGTGTAAAAATAAAGTTGTACAATTTACAATAGGTATATAATACAAACATTATAAAAATATGTTTTTAAAAAACCTTAAATTCGAATTCATATTTGACACTAATTATCAGCACCAGACCTTGTTCAAATAATTTATTACCCTGTATAGAGTACTATATTATAATATTGTAGAATTCATAGTATTCTATAACTAAACGGAAACTGCAAAACGTCTACGTCTTGTTAGGTTATTTTAATTTCAATATATAATTAAGATGGCCGATGGAAGTACAGTTTTAGATTTGTATTACATATTTACGTACCTATTATCATGTGTCTAGTACTCTAGTAGGTACCTTTGTGTATTATATTATACAGCATACACGTGGCTTACAATATGCCAATATAATATCATATATCACACAGTATACATATAATATAATATACATTGTGGTATTTAGCGTTAGACCTTATTGTAATCCCCATTCACCACACATTTGTTTTAAATGAAAGATTTAGATGACCTGTAGTACGTTATAATGTATAATATTAAAATAAATGTATGCGAAATTTTTTTACCATGTACAATATTGTTCATTCTATTATAAGTGAAAGCAATAATGTTTATAGGTACAGGTACTTATATTATAATTGTTCTGATGGTTTTCCTTATCTCTTACAACATATTTATAGCCAATAAATTGTGAGAGCCCTATCAATATATAGCTTCCCTTCTTTTAGTCCCTCTTAAGCCTTGTACTCCTTTGCACCAATTTGCTTATTGTATATTAATTGGTTTGTACAGATTGTAAATGTTATATTTTTAATTTTTTTTAAAAAGGTAATTAAAACTATTTGCTATTATCGAAACGTCTTAACAAGCTGCAGACCTACTTTTCGGTGAACCACATTTTTTCTGCTATTCAGTTTTTTAAATTTATACACATTTCGATTTTGATTTACATTTACTGGTAGAAAAGTATTTTGTTGAGAATTAGGTACATCTTTCCGACTGATTCTCTTTAAATATGATTTTTGAAAATCATTAACTGCATATTACAATTATAGTTAATTGTGCTATTGCAGGATGACCTTCATTCCATTTGGTATGGGATATGCAACCAATATCTATGTACAGTAATAGTTTTCAAAAGTCATCTAATTTAATAAAAACGAGTTATTGATTGGTTAAAACATGATTTACTAAATGAAATAATATATTTTATTTTAATTAGTTTTGTTCACCCCTTTTAACTTTTAACTTTGTTGAGTAGGATAATATATTTTAAATTACAATCTTATGGTGTAAAATTATTTTTTACCTTATTGATGTAATAATTTTTATTTTTTTTTTACAGGTTTTATGTCATGCAAACGTGGCGTGGCAAACAGCTCAAGGAAACCATATTCCGCCAAACGCTATTGTTATAGGTTCTACCGTTGACGGGGAAAAACTTTACATGGGTCGTACGCTTCATGACGGAACATTAACTCCTGGAAAAGTAATATTTTACTTATAAACTTTAAACAACTATGAGCTAATATTATAACTGTTATATTTATATGTTAAGTTTATGTTTATTTTCGACTATTTCTTAATTTGCCTTATTATTGAGTAAATAATTATTTATACAATAAATTGTATTGTTTTAATATTGTGACTTACACTGAAAAATTACGAAAATTTACAATTCGAGTGTATACGATATATTATATATAAATGTATAAAATATTATTTATCATTTTTTTTTTAGTTGATTTACCAAAATAGTCATATAGATTTTTCCGTAGGTTCTTTTCGTATGGTCATTCTATTTGAAATCAATATGTTGATGTTGTTTTTTTGTTTGTTTATATTTAGATTCATCCCAGTCATGGAACACTTTATATTCCATATAACGGGGAAGAAGTATCCGTCAATGAGTATGAAATCATGATATACCGACCACCTATTACCTTCAATTAAAAGCCATAATTACAGGAATATAATATTATGTAATATTATAATATAAAATATATTATTCAGTGTTTAAAAAAATTTATTTTCATGCATTATTAAATTGTTAGCTCAATAAATTATTTACCTATAAGAAAATGTTATAAATGTCATATTATGTGTATATAATTTAAAATAGTTTTATTGTATTAAATACACTACTACATTCTTATTTCTAACTAATTTTATATTATAATGGCATTTATGTAATTATGTACTTACTTTAATAACTACGACTATGAAATCGAATATGTACCTAAGTAATACGCCTATTTGTGTTTTCAAATGCTCATAAATCATAATTTTTAATACTAATTAATTATCACAAACATTTTATCCTATCCGTAATAATAAAATATACTTTAGATTTTTTTTATTCCTATGACTTTATCTTTAATGATTCTCGACTGATGATTTTGGAAATTTATCAATGTTATTTCATACTATAGTGTGACTAATAGAATATAAATAATTAATTTATATGCATTTATTATCAATCATCATAAATGCCCTTATAAATTTGTATGGTATTTGACAGTCAACGATATGTGTCGGTAACAAAAAAAAAAAACAATAAAAAAAGCCCTTAAAACACGATTGAGCATAATACAATTGAGCATATAACTTTTTACTAACGCGATTGAGCATAGAATATATTTTTATTCTATGTTGCAAAATTTTTATTACCGAAATGTTGTAATTTATTATTTTCACGTAATATTACACCAATTACGTATTATGATACCAAACTTATTCGAGCCGTGAGCCGAGCCCAGCGCCCCAGCTCGACAAATGACAATATTATCGATTAATATAAAATAGTTCCAGAGCAATAAATATTAATTTTATCCGTAATAAACTGATCCTTAATATAAACAGATACTAATCGATGTTCGATACCTAAAAAATTTTCTATGTACAATTTTGCTTATAATTCAAATATTTCAAAGTTTTTACTCTTTAATTGACAAATAATAATAATAATTATTATTATTATTATTGTATAATTAATAAAAATATTTGGATTTCTGTTTTTAGACAAAAAATAATAATTTTTTTTAATAGTAAATAATATAAACTTATAATACCTAAATAATTAATAAACTGAAAATATTTGGACCAAAAAATGAATCGGGGAGAAGATATCCAACTACACCGAAAACCGAGGAAAATGTCTGGGAGGGAAATGTCCATTTACCAAATAATATAAAAATAATTTTATAGGAGACTTTTAACCAGTACCATATTTTGAACTATTATAATTATTTGAATTTCTATGTCCTTTGAATTTTGATCCTCCGACAAATTTGCTCAATCGTGTTGTAGCTAATACAGCCTAGATATTATGATTAAATTATCGTATTACGGTTTATTTTAATTTAAAATATAAAAACCCCAAAAATGATTTTCAATCGTGTATGTATATATTATAATTTGTATTTTATACTTTGTATCTATATTTTCATATACCTACGTTAACTTTAGATTATAATATTATGTAATACATAACTAGTGTAGGTATTAAATGATTATAGTCAACGGCGACTGTTGTTCTTGGTCTTGACTTTATGGTTTTTATTGTAACCTACAGATGTCGTTGTTAGTACGATTCTTTTAAAGTTTGTAGGTACCAGCAACCAGCAGGCGCAGCAGCATGCCAGTATGACGTAATGCTGGTACACGCAGGCGACAAGTTATTATAGTCGATTATTATAAGTGTATAATACAACAGTATCGTGTGAAAAATATAAGCAACTTTTCTCAACCCGTGACTAGGGGCAATAGTGTTTTTATAGTTATTTCCAAGCTCAGATTTTAGCACATTTGTTTTGTTTATAAAACCTGTACACAATTATGTTAAGCCTTATGAACTTTGCTCCCCTTAACGATGCATAATTCAATATATTTGCAATTTACTGTTAAAACTATGTACATATAAAAGTTATAGGATAGCTATAATCTATAATACTGATATTTTATTATTATTATTTTATATTACATTTTTGTATTTCTATAATGCAGACATTATGCAAAATTCAAAGGTTGAATGTATTCAAAGTTATGTAGATACGAATATATGGTATGTATGGATATACAAAAACCAAACGGGTATTATGGTAAAATAAACGATTTTTACTTTGTGTAGGACTGTAAGGGAGCTGGAGGATAATGAAATGCTAGGAGTCGGGAATAATGCTTTTATGGTATGGTTTGTCAGTAATATTTTTGTTTTCGCGGAGCCATGAAACAACTTGTCCATCATATAAACACATGGTTACAGCACTGACTCTGGAATGCTGGATTGAAGTAAAATGTCCTTTTACCAAATATATGAATATCAAACTTATACTCGACGACCCTCAATAATATACTCTAGACTATATGCAAAGTTCGTGTTGTGAATCTATAAGTACAATTTGATTTTCAAAAATAACAAATTAAATTCAGTAATTGTAATAACAAATAAATTAATAAATATCTGCTGGTATAGCTATTACTACGAGTAAATAGGTAAATTATATATAATACACATAATATAGATATTATTTGAATAAATGAAACTCAAGAATTCAAATTATTTTATAATACAATTTTTGAACTTGTCATTATAAACGTCTGAGCCCGTAAACCTACCATTTTATGCATAATTATTAGTAATGTCTTCAGAAAACGCCGATTATTAAAAACGCCGAGAATTTCTCGACCAAAAATTGTGAATTACAAACAATTCAATATCTCTACACTCATTGAAAATATACAAGGTGGTCCATTGCAAGTATACTCACTCCCTTTTTTCTTCAATAACACAGTTATTAAAAATCTAATTTTTGGGATTTTTAAAAATACTTATTGTATTCAAATTCTTGAGATATTTTTGTGTTACTTGAGGAATGTCCTGTTTACACATAAATGAACACCAGTTTTCTACTGTTAGTTATGTATATAGCGTATAATTTTTCTAAAAATTATGACGTATCAAAAATAAAAATAAAAATTTAAACGAATAGTTTTGAGTTATTTAACTTTGAATACTAAGAATAATAAGTCCATAATGATAATGGATCTGGAATGAACAGATTTTAATATTTCAAACGTTAAATTTGTTTGTTGGATTTGATGAAAGGCCGTATAGGGGTAATGGTGATTTGAAAATGTCGGTGATTAATATTAATTTATCAACATTTCTAATTTTTAAAAATTGTCCTAGTATAATAAATACTAGATGTCCAAATCCAATTATACGTCAACTTGATATTTTTGTAAGACTATTTTTAAGGATAATAATGACTATACTCGTTCCAATTTTTAATTAGGTATACATCAACATTTTCATAAAAATATCAACTAAATAAATCACAGCAAATTAAGAAGGGGTGGGTTCTCGTTTGAAAAACAGAAGTTTGTTTCGTCACAGGATAACCTAATCTTCCTCAGTAGTAGGTACAGAATAGTCTCAAGAATTAGAAAATGCGGCCCCAAGTACCTACCTATGTTTATAAATTCCAAAAATCAGAATTTGAATAAATTCATTATTAAAGAAATCAATGGAGGCGAGCATCATGCTTGATGAATCAGTCTGTATATGTATTCTAAATATACTAATACATTATAATACACTGCGTGAATGAGTCTCACTTCCGGCCTCTTAATGATAAAGGATATTCGAAGAAAGGCTATTACCTATAATAGGTACCTACCAATATATATATTATTATAATATTATCTCTTATGTTTTAAAACATTTCAACGTAGGTAGCTCTTATAAAATTCATAAACCAATAAGCATAAACGATAATTGATATAATATTACATATTATAAAATGTAAATCATCGATTCTTCATCATACAAGTAAACTAATTTTTGAGTCCCTTTATTACTCTTAAGTCATATACCTTAAGGGTTATTCCGATTGCATTTCATGTTTATCACTACCTCAAATCTGCAATTAGTAATTAGTAATTACCTATACATTTATCACAAATGCGAATTGTACTTCAAGTCTGGAGCACACATTATTCGCAGTCAAATTAATCAACGACCGAAAAATATAGAATAGTGGTTCTTAAGCTTTTGAAGTACGTAGACTCCTTAGTCCTTACCAATTTTTTTTTCGAATAAACTTTTTTTTTACAAAATTGTTTATAATAACTCTCATGTAATTATAATATAAACGGCTATACAAATATAAATATGCAAATATTACAAATCGCATAAGGAGATACACAAAAACATAAACATTTCATATTTATTTATTATAGTTACTGTTGTATCACGGATAAATATAAAAAATTAACTAGGTTGAGTAAACATGTAAATAATAATATTAAGTATTACGTCTTATAGTCAGTAAGTTTTAGCAGATGTAGCAAAACAAAAACTAGGATAATATATAAGTCATGGTACCTAAGAGTCGTATGGGTGGTCAGTGGTGGTGATCGTATGACTCGATTAAATGTGCTTATAATAATATTTGTTCATTTGTTGTGTCCTACGACAGTTCTTTAAAATAGAAATTTAATATTTTTATATATTTTGCAAATTTAGTGTTTATTATTAACGCGAAGGGCGGTGTGCATTTCAGACATCAGTTTTCGAATAGGGCCACATCGGGCCAATATTCGAAAGCTTAAAAACGAAGTTTTTCGAAACTTGTTTTTAATATAAATAACAGCGGATACGGCTTTTTCTTATAAATATGTTGTAGAGAGTTAAAACTTTCAACGTTTTAGTAGATAAGGCCGAGGAACCCAGGCAAAAGTGTCATTGACAATGTTTTAAGAACCGCTGGTATAAGAGTATAAGACACTATACAGCGCGCAACCTTAGATAATTATATACAACTACGGTAATGCGAAATTAAGGTGACGTTAATCTGCACTTTCCGTGTTTTTAAATAATATTCTGAATCTTAATCATTCCAGCCACTTGAGATCAAATTATATGTACATTATTAACACAATTTAACATAAAAATACACATCATCTTAAAACGACCAGTTGCACTGTAAATGTATGGAATTATTGATACAATGCCGTATTGCCGTCGAGGCGAATTGCGACGAGGCGCACGTCAACCGCACACACACACACAAGCATGGCACATAGACACACGCTCGCGCAGTGCTATCGATCGGGGGCGCGCGCGTGCTACCGAGACGACGGATACTAGTACCTAGGTACAACACAACCCCGCGACAGAGTGTTCGGGCGTGTTTGTGCGTTTTTTTTTCTAGAAAACCAAACTCGAGTTAGAGACTATAGCAATATGAAA